GATTTTCAAGCTGAGGTTCCATGAGCACTTGTCAGCAAAATAGTAAGAATTCTTGGTCAGGTGCAGAATGGCCTTGATTTCAAACCACACAAACCCAACTGTTCTCACTAGGTCTGACATACTAACACAATGACATCTGTCATAATAACATGGTTCACTTGTCTCCTCTAAACATACCCTTTTTATAGAAATGGTGGCTTTCTTCCTGTGGTTTTCCCTTGCTTTCACCTTGAGCACTATTATTCTTGTAGTCAGTGACAACTTGCACGAGTTATAGGCTGCATAAAGAAGCTTGGGACACATACTACAAACAGCCAAAGTGTCCCAAGTGGAATACTGACTTCTAATATACCTCCAGGGAGCCTTTAGGTGTAGGTGTTCAAGTCTGGATATCTTTCCATAATCTCTACATAAAGAGACCTTGCCAGAAATGAGAAGACTTGGCATTAGCTCAGTCTTCCTCATCTTTCAGGTAGCGAGACCCATCACTGAATGATGAAGTGTACCCTTCCCATAACACATCTGCCCCATGTTCCATTGGTCCTTGTGGCAATAGACTCACCTCAACTCCGAATCTATTAAATCTTTGCTCACCCCTGCTAATTATGAAGGTGAAAGAAGAGTACACAGTCCAGAAAATCCTACTCTTACAGAGATGACAGTGCTATATCTAGTACCTGATAGAGTCATGACACCAATGAGAGGATGTAGGAACCAGTGCAGAACATTAGTGTCCCTGATTGATAGAAGCATCTCCCTCAATACTATTGTACCAACCTGCATGGCCTTGAGTTCTTATGAGGCATTCTAGAGGTAAGGATGATATTGAGATCTATAGCAACACCAATACAACAGAGCAAAAAAGTATAGAACATCAGAATAGGCCAGTACAGAGTCCTTTTTTTCCCCTTTAAAAAATTTATTAATTTATTTTTAGTTTTCAACATTCATTTCCACAAGATTTTGAGTTCCAAATTTTCTCCCCATCTCATCCCTCTCCCACCCCAAGATGGCATGTTGTGGAAAACTAACTATATTTCCCTTCATACTATCCCACCCCCATTTACTCTATTCTCTCTTTTGACCCTATCCCTCTTCAGAAGTATTTGCTTCTGATTACCCTCTCCCCAAATCTGCTTTCCCCCTTTATCATCCCCCTGCTCTCTTATCCCCTCCCCCACCATTTTCCTGTAGAGTGAGATAGATTTCCATACTCAATTGAGTGTGTATGGTATTCCCTCCTTAAGCCAAATCCAGTGAGAATAAGATTCACTTCTTCCCTCTCACCTTCCCCAACTTCCCCTCCACTGTAAAAACCTTTTCTTGTCTGTTTTATGTGAGATAATTTACCCCATTATACCTCTCCCTTTCTCCTTCTCCCAGTATAATCCTCTCTCACCCCTTAATTTTATTCTCCAGATATCACCCCTTCATCTTCAACTCACCCTGTACCCTCTATCTATCTATCTACCTATCTATCTACATATAATTTTTCCCTCCAATGACCCTAATACTGACAAAGGTCTCATGAGTTACAAACATTATCTTTCCATGTAGGAGTATAAACAGTGCAATCTTAATAAGTCCCTTACGATTTCTCTTTCCTGTTTACCTCTTCATGCTTCTCTTGAGTCTTGTATTTAAAAGTCAAATTTTCTATTCAGCTCCGGTCTTTTCATCAAGAATGCTTGAAAGTCCTCTGTTTCACTGAATATCTGTTTTTCCCCCTGAAGGATTATATTCAGTTTTGCTGGGTAGGTGATTCATGGCTGTAATCCTATCTCTTTTTGCCTCTGGAATATCACATTCCAAGCCCTCCAGTCCCTTAATATAGAAGTTACTAAATCTTGGATTATCCTGATTATGTTTCCGCGATACTTGAATTGTTTCTTTGTGGCTGCTTGCAATATTTTCTCTTTGACCTGGGAACTCTGGAATTTGCTACAATATTCCTAGGAGTTTTCCTTTGGGGAGCTCTTTCAGGAGGTGATCGGTGTATTCTTTCCATTTCTATTTCATCCTCTGGTTCAAGAATATCAGGGCAGTTTTCCTTGATAATTTCTTGAAAGGTGATGTCTAGACTCTTTTTTTGATCCTGGCTTTCAGATAGTCCAATAATTTTAAATTATCTCTCCTGGATCTATTTTCCAGGTCAGTTGTTTTCCAATGAGATATTTCACATTGTCTTCTATTTTTCCATTCTTTTGGATTTGTTTTACAATGTCTTGATTTCTCATAAAGTCACTAGTTTCCATTTGCTCAATTCTAATTTTTAAGGAAGTATTTTCTTCAGTGAGTTTTTGGAATTCCTTTTCCATCTGACCAATTCTTCTTTTTAAGGCATTCTTCTCCTCATTGGCTTTTTGGACCTCTTTTGCCATTAGGGTTAGGCTATTTTTTTTTAAGTGTTATTTTCTTCAGCATTTTTTTGGGTCTCCTTTAGCAAGCTGTTGACTTGTTTTTCATGATTTTCTTGCATCACTCTCATTCCTCTTCCCAGTTTTTCCTCTACTTCTCTACTTGCTTCTCAAAATCCTTTTTGAGCTCTTCCATGGCCTGGAACTGATTCATATTTTTCTTGGAGGCTTTGGATGTAGGAGCTTTGATTTTGTTGTGTTCTTCCAGTTGTATGTTTTGATCTTCTTTGTCACCAAAGAAAGATTCTATGGTCTGACTTTTTTTGTGCAGTTTGCAGTTATAAACTCTTTGTTAAGGTGGGGGTCTGCTTCCAGTGTGGAGAATGCATTGTTCCAAGCTTTTTTCTAGTACTCTCCTTCATTTCAAAAAAATTCAAACTTTTAAAACATTTTTGCTTCATCTTTTCCAGAGATTCTAGATAAGCTTGAACCCAAGTTGTGTTATTCCTTGAGGTTTGGCTTGTAGATTTTTGGAGTCATTCACTTCTTCAGTATTTGTGTTTGAGGTGTCCCTGTCACTGTAATAGCTTTTTATAGTGGGGTTCTTTTTTGTTTATTCATTCTTCCAGATTATTTTCTGACTTCAGACTTTATATTAGGATTGGGCTCTGTACATTTCTGGAGAGTATGTCTGGGCTGGTCCTACTGCTGCTTTCTTGGGAGTATTGAGTATTGAATTATTGCAGTATCACAGGGACAATTCATGCTGGAGACCAGCGAGCTTTCAGTATGATCCAAGGCAAAGTCTGATTTCTTCTCTCATGGAATGAGTTTTGTAAGTTCCTGACCAGGGTCTAGGTCTGTGCAACACACTTATGAGCTTGCCCCAGTTGGAGTTTTAGTGAATTGCTGTTGGACTCAGCCACTGTTAGCAACCTGGAAAGTTGCGCTGGTTCAGAGTGACAGAATTGCAATCTCCACTTTGGTTGCACTATTGCTAGACACAGCATCATGGATCTGTAACCTAGAACTTGGTAATGAACCACAGAGTTGACAGTTAGCACCTATTTCTGTACCCTAAACAAGTTTAGACCCCTCTGTGCTATGTTTAGGACTTCTTGCCGTGGTGCAGAGCTTCTACCTGACCTGCAGTATTCTGTGAAGTGGTTCCTGGCTAGACCATGTCCACAGTGTCCGCAGACCTCTCTGTCTCCCTATGCTGAAAAAAATGACTTGCTGTAATTTATTTTCCCTGGATTTCCCAATCAGAACTCAATTTGGTAGATTTTCTAAATGTTTATAATGGTTCCTGATTGTCCCTTGGATAAAATATAAACTCCTCTGTTTGGTATTTAAATCCCTTCACAACTTGTTTCCACCTTCTAGGCTTATTATCACACCCTTTACAAGTTAGCTGAACCATCTTTCTTATTCTTCTTCACACACGATGCTCCATTTCCCATTTCTGTGTCTCTGCAAAGATTGTCTTCAACATCTGGAATGAAATTCCTCCTTACTTTCATCTCCACTTTCTAGACTTCCTTGTGTCCTTCAAAACTCAGTTCATAGGGGCAGCTAAGTTGCTCAATGGATCGAGCACTGGCCCTGGATTCAGGAAGACCTCAGTTCAAATCCAGCCTCAGACATATAACACTTACTAGCTGTGAGACCCTGGTCAAGTCACTTAACCCCATTGCCTAGCCCCCCCAAAAAAAACAACTCAGTTCAAGCACCATCTTCAACTCCAAACGAAGCCTTTCTATACCCCCTTCCAAATTACTTATACCTCCCTCCCTCCCTCCCCCACAGTAGCTTGCATTTATTTTGTATATATTTTAAAATTTTATATATAAGTATACATGTCATTTCCCCTTATAGAAAGTAAGCCTCTTGAGGACAGGAACTGTTTATTTTATTCTTTCTATTCTCAGAACCTAGCACATTGCCAGGTAACTAGGGTCTGCTTAAGACATTGTTGTTGATGAATTGACTGGTAAGGACTGTGGCAGAATAGGGCTGAACTACATAGGGATGAGAACATGGAATCACAGTAGGGGCAAGGGATTTTCACATAATCAGGTACTAATTCTCTTCTAATGGCATGTTATCCCATTGGGTAGCACTATATTGCTATTGAATTTTTCATGTGTGAATGTTTAATTCTCCAACAAGGTTGCAAGGAGATCAATTATATGCTGCATACATTTTAGTACCCAGAAAGAATTCAGTAAATGTTTGCGGTTTAATGTGGGTTGGATTGACACTGTCTTTGTGCTGTCTTTAGGATTCAACTCAGAGAACATTAGAGCTGGAAAAGACCTCAGTGATTGTATAGTCTAGAGATTCTTACCCTTTTTGGTATCATGGACCCTTGGTGAAACCTGGTGAAATCTATGGGTCCCTCCCAGAATAATATTTTTAAGTGCATAAAGTATATAGGTTTACAAAGAAAACCAAATATATTGAAATACAATTATCAAAATATTTTTAAAAGTTCATGTACCACAGTTTACCTCTGACTTCTGTTTCAACCCCTTCATTTTATAGGTTGAAAAAAGGATGATCGGGGAAACTGCCACTGGCAACAGGAAAAGGGCATATGAGACGCAAAGTCTGAACATTTTCCTTCTTTTGTTCTTTTAGCCATTCTCCCTGTAGCCTCCAACTGTTGCACAGAAGTGTCCCATCAGATTTCTAGAAGACTTTTAGCAAAAGTGAAAAGATGTCACATTCAAAGAGCTGATGGAGTTTGTGATCTACCAGCTGTCATGTGAGTTTCAATGAGGCTTCATACAACGTCAAAGCAAATAGAAGGTCTGAATATATTCTGTCATATCTTTGTCCTATTAAAAAATACATATCCTTCACATTCTTCACCTGTTACATCTCAATTCTCTATTCACCAACATACATTGTACTCATCAGAAAAAGAAATAACAACAACCAATAGAAAACAAAAACAAGAATGCTCTTCTAAAGAAATTGCCCATACCCCTGAGACCATCATTGGGATGCGAAATACTCTAGTCACATCTTCCTGACACCATAGGGGAAAAATGAGCTTCCACCTGTCACTGGCCCTCCCAACCTTCATTCTCATCATCGAGTTAAGCAAATGTCTGGATGGAGAAGTAAGCGTTCAGACCTGTAGACCTGAGGTTTCTGGGAGAAAACAGTTCTGCCCACAACAAAGGGAAAGTGGCTTCCCTGATCCTCAGGGACACACACAGGCTTCACTGAAATCTCTATGCTAGCTTCCCCTCAACATCCACTTCCTTCTACTCTTCCTGCCCCTCTCAAGTGCTACTGTATCCTTAGGGTGATGAAAAGTATTTTATTCTTCTAGAAGAGTTAATCTCGTTCCCTAAGTGCAGCCAAGGAAAAACACGGCAATATGTCTAGCAGTTTGGTACAGTTGAAACAACATTGGATATAGAGTCAGAGTTTGGGTTTAAATCTCGACTTTACACCTTGTGACTCTGAACAAGTCACTGACCTTCCTGAGCCTCAGTTTCTTCATGTGAAAAATGAGGCAGTGAAGTAGTTAATCTCTTGGCTCCCTTACAATTCTAAACCTGCCTCTCTATGAAGAGATAGAACCTGAACCAGTAAAATCCAGAAGGGAGGGTCTGAACCAAGAAATGCCAATTATCTTTTCTACCTTCTTCTTGAAACCTGACTGGCTATTCTATTTACTGAGATCTCCAGGGAAGGAAAACAGTTTTGAAGAATAAATATTAGTTTATAAGACTACAGCAATATACTAAGGTATTTTGGTTTCCTTTAAAAAAAAAGATCCTTCTCTGTCTAACCACAAATCCCCTTTAGTAAGGTCTGGGATGCTGTTACATGGTATTTGAATAACCAGATGACCTTAGCATTCCTCAAAATCTCTCCTTGGACACTTCTCCCAAAAGCTTCCCCCAAACTCCATTTTTATCAGCATCTCCAAGGTGCCAACTAGTGCACTGCCTATTCCTGTGATAAAGGAGAGACCTTCAACCCCTGATGCTTGAGAAAGAACTGCATTTCTCATCTCATCTCAATGCCTGTATTCTCATTCTTATGTCTCATTCTTAGGCAGGAGAAGGCCACAGCATAAGTTGCACTCTGGGTTTAGCCTTGCTCTATAAAACCAAGTCTTAGAGAACACACTGTATTTTAAAGGGGTATATGAGTAATCATTACGCTCTGTTTTCAGTTATTTATGTTCCCTAAAAGTCTTCCTCCTCCTTCCCCTCCATTTTTTTTCTGGCAGCCTCCATGTCCACCATCGAAAATTCTGTGTCAGCCCACAAAACCACACTCTTAAGACATGGATGAAAATGCAAAGGAACAAGAAAAATGCAAAAGGAAATATCTGTAATAGGAAGAAACACCCCCACAAGAAGAAGAGAAAGAGCGAAGCGACAAAGCAAAGACATCTTCATAAACATGGACAGAAAACTCCTTATTAGCAAATGAGTCTACAAAGGGCTTGCTTCCCTGCAATGAACCTGGCAAGTGACTGGTTATATGGATTTATCATAAGTTAGACAGAGCCAAATGCTTATTATTAGAAACTAACAGCTCCCAAGGAAAAAAAACAGTAGGCAAATGTTTTCTGCAATATACTAAGTAGCTAATAATAACGTCAGATAGGAAAATACAACATAAAAAAAAAGATGTTATGTATCTTAGCAGAGGCCATTTTTTAATGGGGAAATTGATGCCAGATTATCAATCAAAAAAAAAAAATCCAGACCAACTCTCTCCTGTGATTTCACTCTTTCCACAAGGCCAGATTCAAAGATTTTAATCTTTAACCTGGGTCCCCTGCATGTCATTAACTTGTTCCCACACTTTACAAGCCCATTCCTTTCTTAGCAATAGAGACTTAAGTTGATGTAACAATCTGACTTTTTAAGCATCAGAGAACAGGAACCAGTCAGCCCTTTATTCAGTGCAGCACTATCTATTGATGTTGCTGCAGGGCTGATTTGGGCTTGAAATCAGGGCCACTGTAGGGACCTAGAGCCAATCATTAGCAAAAATACCCTGAGAGCAGCTCTTGCATTATAATGGAAAGTACCAAAGCAAAGGGTGTGGAGAAAGTGGGAGAGACCTTGTTTTGGTTGCAGCATAAAGCATAAAAGGAGTCTCTGGAATTTTTTGTTCAGGAGCCCAGAATTCAAATTTATTTCTGCTAGAGCTGATAATTGTATTTTTAGTTTTAATAATAATTATTTGGAAAACCTTAAAAAACCTTAAAAGATACATAATTTGTACAAATATTGGCAATGAAATTATAGAGAGATTGAACAAACCCAATGCTGATTTCTCTAAGATTTGTACATGAGTGTGTGGGGGCAGAATTTAATTCTAGGTAGTGGATCGAATTAGATAGTCTTCATAGGTAAGCCTCCCATTTGCAAACCTACAACTTATCTTTGTTTCATTTTAACCGACCATCTTGGAAAGAACTATGTTAGACTATAAGGTTAACAATGTGCTTCCCTCACAATAAATAAAAGTGGTGTAAACACTATTATCTTTTAAGTTGAAATTCAGGAAATTGAGTTGCCTAGCCCACAGTCACAGGAGCTCAAAAGTGGCATTCAAATCCAAGTGCTTTCTATCTCGCGGTCCAGTGCTATCTTGCAATGTGTTTGTCTCTGCTCAAACCTGTCATTTTAGCATGAAAATAGAGCTAATACAGAAGGAACACCATCACGAAGTGTTCCTTTCCTCTCTACTACTAACAGCACAGCAGTCATCACATTTTATGAGACTGGTTTTTCTGCCTCTAGTTTCTTCACCTCTCTGATCTGTTCAGCAACACATGCTATCAAAATTATCTTCCTAAGGTAGGGGTCTGAACTACCCCCCAAAACCTAAAGCAGCTTTGTATTACCTCTCAGGTAAACTATAAATTTTTCATTATTTAAGATTCACTCATTACGTAAGACTCACCACAATCTGTCTCCAACCTACCTTTCCAGGCTTTATTTTATATCATTTCTCTCCACATGGTTTATGTTCTAACCAAATTAGCCTCCTACCTGTTTGCCAAAATCAAGATTCTCTTTAGTATGACCCTGTAACCATAATGAATTATCTCCTCTTTACTTGTCTTTCCTTGTTTCCTTTCAAAACTCAGGTCAAGGTGCCCTCTCCTCTATGAAACCTTCCTTCCTACGATCAGTTGTTAGCGTCTTCTTACACTTTTGGTATTTATTTACTTGTTGGTGTACATGTTGTTGCCTTTCAATAGACTGTAAGCTTCTTGAGGCTAGAGACTTTTGTTTTTCTCTAGTGCTTGTCAACATATGAAACACATATTTTTTTGCATTGTATATTCATAAAATTAAATTCATAAAATTAATTCATAAAATTTTTTAAAAGTTGGACACCATTTCATGAGGGCTATTTACTAAGATCTGCGTGTGAGTATTGAGGCAAGATTTCATTCTAGGTACTGAAGGTAATCAGATATTAATCAGAGGTGGTCCTCCTCTTTGCAAAATCTTCTACAACCTATCTTTATTTCATTTTAACAGACTGTATTGCAAAGTAAATTTATCAGGTATTTTTATGAAACTCCTTTTATTGTGAGGCAAATACACTTCATTAATATTTTAACAACTTATTGCAATTTTTCTATCACCTACAGTTTCAAACATTTGGAACAAACTTTTTGGTGCAAGTGGAGCCAAATTTAAGACCAGAATTTACATTTGCTGGTTTTTAACTTGGAACATTATTCCTTTTCTCTGGCTTCCTTTGCCTGATCCCACATACTCTATTAAAAGAATTAAATGTTGATTCAATTTGTTTATTTTTAACACAACAATCACTTCCCAACTTACCCTTCTAAAGAAAATCAAAACAAGACAGTTAAGCAAACCCACATAAAAGAGCAATCAAATTGACCAACAGTGCAAGGTTATTCATTTATAGTCCTCCATCTCTCGTCAGAGAGTGAGTTTTAACATCAGTTATCTGGAACCAACATGGGTCATTTCACTTGCCCTGGCCTTCTATTATCTTTTAGTGTTACTTTCATTTTTTCTGCTGAGGACTAGCCTTGTAAAGTTCAAATTGACCTGATATAATATTTCTGGGCTTGGTTTCTTTTTATTCTTTTGATTCATCTTAAGTTTGTTCCAGCATTAGGAGCTTGCTCTAGAAACCTACATTTATGCCTTCTTTGTGGTATCTCTTCTAGTAGGTCATACTATCTGTCCTAGGGAATTAAAGCCAGTTTCAGAAGTCTATTGCACTGCATGGGAAAGTAGAAATGGAAAAGAGGAAAGCCAGGAGGAAATAAATAGCTTCATGTGCTAGTTCTAAAAAACAAACACAAACAACAATAACAAAAACCCCAAAACCTGTAAAATGAAGGTGAACAACATAGATGGAGTATAACCATAGGGTTGGTAATTAGAACGAGCAGAGATTGTGGTCCACCAGAAAGCATATATAACATCTTCCACAGTATACCAAGATAAGGTTAAAATGATTTGAACATAAAGGGTGATACCATAAGCAAATTAGGAGAGAAAGGAATGGCTTACCTGTCAGATCTATGAGGAAGGGAAGAATTTATGACCAAACAAGAGATAGAGAACATTATGAAAAGCAAAATAGATAATTTTGATTACATTAAATTAAAAAGTTTTTGCACAAACAAAGCCAATGTAATCAAGATTAGAAGGGAAGAAGAAACTTGGGAAACAATTTTTACAGCCAGTGTCTCTGACAAAGGCCTCATTTCTAAAATATATAGAGAACTAAGTCAAATTTATAAGAATACAAGTCATTCCCCAAATGATAAATGGTCAAAAGATATGAATAGGCAGTTTTCAGGTGAAGAAATAAAAGATATCTATAATTATATGAAAAAAATGCTCTAAATCATCATTGATTAGAGAAATGCAAATCAAAACAATTCTGAAGTACCACATCACACTTATAAGATTGGCTAACATAACAAAACAAGAAAATGATAAATATTGGATCAGTTCACAACTCCAGCAACAATGCATTAGTGTTCCAGTTTTCCCACATCTTCTCCAACACTTCTGTACTATAAAATTGTGCATACTCTTTAATCCAGCAATGCTACTACTAGGTCTATATCCCAAAAGAGATCATAAAAACAGGAAATGTACAAAAATATTTATAGCAGCTCTTTTTGTGGTAGCAAAGAATTGGAAATTGAGGGGATGTACATTAATTGGGGAATGGCTGAACAAATTGTGGGATATAAATATAATGGAATACTATTGTGCTATAAGAAATGATAAGCAGGCAGATTTCAGAAAAAACCTAGAAAGATTTACATGAACTGATGCTGAGTGAAGTGAGCAGAACCAGGAGAACGTTGTACAAAGTAATAGCAACATTGTGTGAAGATCAACTTTGCTAGGCTTAGCTCTTCTCAGCAATGCAATGATCTGAGACGATTCCGAAAGACTCATGATGGAAAATGCTATCCACATCCAGAGTAAGAACTATGGAGTCTCAATGCAGATGAAAGCAAACTATTTTCTCTTTTTTTCATCCTTATGGTTTTTCCCTTTTCTGACTCTTTTTTCACAATATGACTAATATGGAAATATGATTAATATTTAATATTTAGTATGATTGTACATGTATAGCAAATATCAGCCAATCAAAATTAAGATTGCATGTGTCTTGGGGAGGGGGGAGGGAAGGGAAGGGGAAAAATTTGAAACTCAAAATTTTCTAAAAGTGAATGTGGAAAACAAAAAATAAAATAAATAAATGAAGGTCAGCAGGAAAGGTCTGTCTCAAATATCATGGAAGTACAGTCAAGATAACACAAGATTTAGCAGCTTCTACATTAAAGGATGAGAGGGCTTAGAATATGATATTGTGGAGGACAAGCTAAGATTACAACCAAGAATCACCTACCTAGCAAAACTGAGTATAATCCTTCAGGGAAAAAATAGATATTCAATGAAATAGATGACTTTCAAGCATTCTTAGTGAAAAGACCACAGCTGAATAAAAAATTTGACTTTCAAATACAAGACTCAAGAGAAGCATAAAAGGTAAACAGGAAAGAGAAATCATAAGGGACTTAATAAGGTTAAACTGTTTACATTCCTACATGGGAAGATGATACTTATAACTCATAAGGCCTTTCTCATTGTTAGGGTAAATAGGAATATGTAAAGACAGAGGGTGCAGGTGTAAGTTGAATATTAAGGAATGACATCTAAAAAAATAAAATTAATGGGTGAGAGGAATGTACTGGGAGAAAGAGAAAGGGAGAGGTAGAATGGGTTAAATTATCTCACATAAAAGAGGCAAGAAAAAGCTTTTTATAGTGGAGAGGAAGAGGAAGGAAGTGAGGTGAAGTGAGTGAAGCTTACTCTCATTAGAACTGGCTCAAAGAAGAAATAAGGTACACACTCAATTGGGTATATAAATCTATCTTACCCTACAAGAAAGTAGGAGGGTAAGGAGGTAAGAGAAGGGGGGGGTTGTGATAGATGGGAGGGCAGATTAGGGGAGGGGGTAGTCAGAAGCAAAACACTTTTGAGGAAGGACAGGGTAAAAGGAGAGAGAACAGAATAAACAGGGGAAGGGGAATAAGATGGAGGAAAATACAGTTAGCAATAGTAACTACAAAAAATATTTTGAAGCAAGGTTCTCTGACGAAGGCCTCATTTCTCAAACATATAGAGAACTGGGTCAAATTTATAAAAATAAAAGCTGTTCCCCAATTGATAAATGATCAAAAGATATGAACAGTTTTCAGATGAAGTAATCAAAGCTATCTACAGCCATATGAAAAACGTTCTAACTCACTATTGATTAGAGAAATGCAAATTAAAACCATTCTGAGGTACTACCTTATACCTATTAGACCACCTAATAGGACAGAAAAGGAAAATTAGAAATGTTGGAGGAGACGTGGGAAAAATGTGACATTAATGTACTGGTGAAGTTGTGAACTGATTCAACCATTCTATAAAACAATTTGGAATTATACCCAAAGGGCTATAAAACCATGCATACCCTTTGGCCTAGCAATACCACTACTAGATCTGTATCCCAAAAGAGATAAAAACCAAAAAGAAAAGGACCTATATGTAAAAAATATTTATAGCAGCTCTTTTATGGTGGCAAAGAATTGGAAGTGGATACCAGTCAATTGGGGAATGGCTGAGCAAATTGTGTTATGTGATTATGATGGAATACTATTGTACTATAAGAAATGATGAGCAGGATGCTGTCAGAAAAACCTGGAAAGACATATATGAACTGATGCAAAGTGAAATGTACTGTGTACAGAGTAACAGCAATATTGCACAATGGGTTAGCTGTGAATGACTTAGCTGTTCTCAGCAATACAATGATCCAAGACAACTCTGAAGGGCATATGATGAAAAATGCGTCCACCCCCAGAGAAAGAAACGATGGCATCTGAATACAGATGGAAGCATACTCTTTTTTACTTTCTTTATTTTTCTTGAGTTTTTTTGCCTGTTCTCTTTTACAACATGACTATTATGGAAATGTTTTGCATGACTACACATGCATAACTTATACTGAATTGCTTGCCTTCTCATTGTGGGGTGGGGGAGTGGTGAGGGAGGAAGAGAGAGAATTTGGAACTGAAAGTTTTTAAAAAATGAATATTAAAAATTGTTTTCACATGTAACTGAGGAAAAATAAAATACTAAATAAATAAACATTTAAAAAATAATTACAAGAGGAAGCATGTATTGCTGTAACTTGTATATGCATTCTGAGAAGACATAGGTCATAGGAAAGCAGTAACAGCCTGGGGTAGGAAGATGCAACTCTTGCACAGGGAATGATTTAGTGCTTTCTAGATCACAGAACCAAACTATCGTATACTATGTTTTATGGAAACATTATTGTAGAAAGAGACATTATAATCAATCCCTCTTATTACTCTGGCATACATATTGGAAGCCAAGATTGTCTAAGTTCTGTAAATTCAGACAGCAGCAGTGTTACTCTGCTTGAGAGCTATGCCAAGCTCTTCCTCCATCAGTTACTGACAGCTACTAGTATCATTGTTTCCCAACACGCAACTACTGATGTAAAGATAGCATATTTTGTGGCAACTTGAACAGTCTAGGTAGGATGCATTTCCCAATGAGAACACATACAAATTTGTCTGCTGCTTAAAACCAAAGTGTCCATTGTGGTCTGCCTTCTATATATAAATTACCAACTTACATCCACACAGAAAATCAGTTCATGTCAATGATGATGCCATATCTGTGGGCAT